GGAGGATATCCAAGTACTAACAACTAGTATCCTTCTCATGACCAATACTGACTTCTGACGGATACAAGCCTGGGTTTTAATGAACCATGTCCCACAGTGAACAGGCACAAAGCCTGAGGCCAAACATTGTGCAAAGAAGAAAGCAAATCTTTTCTTGAGAAACACATCCTGAAACCAAACCACAGAAATCAACTTCAAAAAGTTCCATAAGACATGAATCTATAATTTTAAATTACCAAACAAAAAGAAAAAAAGTGCCAGAGCAAGAAACTGTCAGTTTACCAAGAAGGACTGTGGGTATCACAAATAGCATATAAAGATCTATCTTAAATCTGAAATGCATGAAAAGTTAAACCTAGGGCCAGAGAATGAGAGGCGATCAGAATCTCAGAATAGGATGATCATCTCTCATAATAATGGTTATATATGACAAATCTATAGCCAATATTGTATTAGGTGAGGAAAACCCAAAAGAATTTCCACAACAAAACAAAACAAACAAACAAACAAACAAAAACCTCAGGAACAAGACAAGGGTATCTACTTTGTTGACTCTCGGTATACTCAATACAGTACTGGATTAGCTAGAGCAGTAAGGCAAAAGAAACAAGTAAGAAAGTTACAAATAAGAAAAGAAGAAGCAAAACCATCCATACGTGTTCCTGTTATGACTCTCTAAGAGATCCTGAAGATTCAACCGGGAAACTCTGAGAAGTATAAACACATTGGGTAAAGGTCAGGATACAAAATCAACATATGGGAATTATAGCCTTCCTCTATAACAATGACAAGCCTACAAGGAACAAAACCAGAAAGCAAAGCAACCAACCAACCGAAGCAAGCAAGCGCACACTCTTGGACTAAGCCTCACTGGTGATGTGGAGGATCTCTATACTGAAAACTTGAAAACGCCAAAGAGTGAAATTGAAGATAGAAGTGTGAGTGAAAATTCCTGAAAAGAAGCTGTGTCTGGCTTTAACAAAAACTCCTGGAAGGATTCTATGTGTGCAGAGACTGATGGACTTACTGGGACTTAAGAACTATGAAAGATTAGAATTTTTGTAGGTTTAGAGACTAATTACTTATCTTGGACGAATTTTAGCCTTCTGGAAGAGCCATGCCTTGTCCCATCTGCATCTGAACTAACACCTCATGGTAATAAAAACCTCGTAGAATCTATTAACTTAGCAGAACACTAACTTCGATCAATCCAAGAGCTAAGAATGTCACCAGACAACATCTTAGGCTTATCAATCTTTTTGTAGTCACCAATGTATTCTAAAGTCGCCTTTAAAGTTGATTTATATCTTTCATTAGTCTGTAAAACTACAAAAACTCCATTTAACTGCTTCTATGGTGGAACCTGTAATCAGGGGTGGCCTCCATATGTGTTCCTGGACCATGATCACCCTTATTGACTCTAGAATAAACTATGTCTTATTCTCTTTAAGATGAGAACTGTGTTTTTTAGGTCCACAAGTAAACTTCCCAGGTTCATGAACTAGAGGAATTAATACTGTGAAAACGGTTATCCACCCTAAAAGCAATCTACACAGTCTATATAATATGTGGGAAAATTCCAGCAACATTCTTCCCAGAAATGGAAAAACAACCTTAAAATCCACACATAAGCCCAAATGGCCCTATATGGCCAAAGCCATATGAACAAAAAGAATACTGCTCTGCAACAGAGTTCAAGTTACATCACAGATCCACGGTAATGAAAAAGGCATGGTCTTTACACAGACAGACACACCTTCAAAATAGCAGATCAATGCAACTATGGACATCTGAGTTCTAGCAAATATGTCAAAAACACACACTGGAGAAAAGCTGGCATCTTCACCAAATGGTGGCAGGGAGTCTGGGTATCTGCATGTAGAAGAATGAAATGTGAACCTTAAATCCAACATGGCACAAAAAGTAAATGCCAACCAGATCAAGGGCCTCAACCTAAGACCTCATACTGTAAAACCACTAAAGAAAAAAGGAGGGAGTTCATTTCAAGATAAAAGCATTGTAGAGACTTTCAGAAAAGAATTTCTATCACTAAGGAGATAAAACCAATAAACAACAAATGGAACTCTTGAGGAAAAAAGTGTTTTGTATAGTAAACTGTCAAGTGAATGAAGTGACAGCTACAAAGGGGGAGAAAAATCTTTGCTAGTTATATATCCAACATAGAATTAGTATTTAGAATATACAAACAATTCTAGAAAACAACCCAAATCAAGGGTGTGGGGAGAGGGCGCTATAGAACTGAACATAGCATTACCAAAAGAATAAATACAAATGGCTAATACATATTTTTAAAGGTATTCAACATTACTAGAGAAAATGGAAATTAAAACTATCTTGAGATACCATCTCACTCCAGTCAAAACAGCTGCCATCAAGAAAACTCGGGCAATGATGCCAGGAACGGTAAACACATATCTATTGATGGTAGGAATGTAAATTACTGAAGTCGCTATTTAGTATCTTTGATACCTGTATGTCAACTTGACACAAAGCTAGAGTCATCTAGGAGGACAGGATCTTAATTGAAAAAAAAAATGCCTTCATAAGATTGGACTATAAACAAGCCCACAGAGCACTTTCTCAATAAATACTTGACATGGGAGGGCCCAGCCCATTGTGTACAAGGCACCCCTGGGCTGGTGGTTCTGGGTTCTATAAGGAAGCAGGCAGAGCAAGCCACGAGGAGCAAGCCAGTAAGACTCCTCCATGGCTTCTGCATCAGCTCCTGCTTCCAGAAGCATGATTTGAGTTTCTGCCTTGGCTTCCCTCAATGGATATATACGCCAAACAAACCTTTTCAGTACACGTTGGTTTTGGTCAGGATATTTCATTCTAGCAGCAGAAAAGTAAATAAGGCAGGAAGTCACTGTATAGGTCTATGAGAAAGCTGAAAAGAAAACTACCATGTGATTTAGCTACACCACTCCCGGGCTTAAAAATATTCAATAACCTATTCCAGAGATACTCTGACATCCATGTTCACGGCTGCGCTATTGACAACGGCTAGGAAATGGAATCATCCGGAATGCCCAGCAACTGATCAACAAATAATGAAGACCTATACATATACACAACGGAGTTTTATTCATCTGTACAGAAAAAAAATGGAATTATAAAATTTACAACAAAATTAAAGAAACTGGAAAACATTATTATACTGAATGTGGTAACCCAGGCCAAGACAGACAAACACCATGTGTTCTCTCTCACATATGGATCCTAGCTTTAAGATTTTAGATTTGTGTGCTTAATTTGTGGTGTCTTTAGAGGTCAGGAAGCTACAAAAGGCCAAAGATGGATATAGAGATATTTTAAGGAGCGGAAGGGAGAGTAGAACCTGTGTCCTATAAACGTAGTTTGTTGGAGGAGAACTCTGGGGGTGAAAGGCTTAAGTGGAGATGGGAACAGGAGGTTGGGGTAAAGCAGGTGGACTAACCAAGACTAAGGATGTATGAAGAGGTCTCAGGAAAACCTACTACTTTGTAAGCTAATTGAAAAGTGTAGCTGGTTTTAAAAGGAGTTTAAATCCAGGTACCCTGCATGAGTGAAGAATGCTTTCCCTAAAGGCACGAGCTACTAAACAAAAATCTCAGGGCTGGAAGAATGAGATATACCTCCCTAGAAGTTATTAAGAAGGATGCCCCAGAGGCACCCAAACAACACAGTTTACTATCATGCTCCTATTTGTCCACCATAACAAGATGCTAAGAACTTATGGCTGAAGACAGGGTACCATTTGCTTGCGGCACACAGAGAAAGCAAGCTGGAATTGAACCAGTAACTTACTTCTTGCTAGTTAGTTTTCACTGAGCTAAAGGGTGCTATGCACCAGGGTAGAAAAAGCAGTTGGTGCACCCTGGATGCTTCGATACCGACTCGCCAGTACCCAAAGGAAACTCCCACAACTAACGAAATTCTTACAATTTGTTTTAATAACAATAGAATTAAGACAAACATATTAAATGCTACATAAATACTAGGAAGAGCTAACAATCATTTAAATAGGGTAGATTGGATTTCACTCTTAAATTGACAAAACCAGATCTTTGCATTTTATTACTTAAGGCAGCAACAGCAGGACTACATTGGAACTCCAGTTAGGACCCTAAATTTGAAGGCTAATAAGTCTATGGCTTTAGAAAAATTCAGACACTGTTCCACATAATTGAGACTCAATTAAAATTATGTTCTAATCTCTGCAACCTCTTTTGAAGGTATTTTTATGTGCATTCATTTTGAAATTTCCCAGTACGCAATCCCTTGCTGGTGAAATCACTAAAATCAACAGCCACCCAGCTTCCAGTCATTCTATGAACCAGGAACACATCCGACAATTTTCTTAAAGTCTTGGAATAAACTGTCTTTCAGACAGCCGGCTCAAAGTACTTCGGGGAACTAGATATATTATTACAATCCAAAATTAGAGTTAGCCAGGGCCTTGCAAAGCAGTCAACCCCTCATTTGCTGAAAGAGAAAATGTGACGCCTGTGGAGGAGCAATAGCTTGGGTCCGACAGCTGGTGAAGCCTGTATCCTCTAGTCCTGCCCAGTGGTCCTCCTCTACCGGAGCCCCAAGGCACGCTCGCACCCAGTAGGTGAGGATTGGACACGTCCATATCGCCCAGGCTAGCAAAGGTGCAAGGTAAAGAAAGGGGCAGCACCTCTTGCTGCCAGTGGGTAAAGAAGGCACACGTTACACATAGTGCTACAGAAAATGGACCTGGGTCTCCTAGCAACAACCTCCTGAGGAGGAGATAAAGACTGCTGATGATTTCCTTCAGGTAGAACTCGCTCAAAAATAAAAAACCCAAACCCCAGGTTAGACACGCACCCGCGCCACCCACGCAAAAGCTGGTAACTGTCATCACCGGCACTGTAGCATTCCCGGACCAGGCGCTCGACTCCGCCCCCTACCCTGACGGTTCAGCTCTCCGGAGGAGAGAGGCATGAAGATCCAGACACCTCCCGCAAGAAAGCTACCTGAGACTCCGCCGCAGCCCGCAGCTTGCCAGCCGCCACGGTCCTTCAGCTTACTTCCGGGGTCAAGTCTACGTTCGGCCGCTCCAGATCCCCGGTCCCAGGCCTCAGCCCCCGCCCCTCTAAGTCCCGCCTCCACTGACCACTGTTTTAGCCCCAGCAACTTCCGGAACGCCGCGCGTCACTAGGCAGTAGACCAGTACTTCCGGAAGCATTGAGCTCCTCCGCTAGCCCCGTGCGAGAGAACTGGATGCTCCTGTGGATTTGATTGGTGGACCCGGAGCGCATGTCGCCTCTGATTGGTGTTCGGGAAATCTGATTGGTGTTCGGGTTGGCGCGGCCGCTCGCAGGGTGTCAATCATATTCCGCTTTCCTGCGAGTTGTGAGTGTTGGCGGCAGAATCATGGTGGACATAATGGAACTTCCGAAAGCGCGCGTCAACGCCAGCATGTTAACACAGTATATTGACCGGCCCGTGTGCTTCGTGGGGAAGCTAGAAAAGGTGCGTGTGAGTTCGGGCGAGAGGACGGGACGGGGCCACTCGGGAATGGCTGCGGAGTAGGGAGCGGAGGTTGGGAGCAGGTAACCTTTAAGCAGCATTGCCCTCCAGCTTGCTTTAGTTTTCACAAGAAGAGCTTTTCCACTGCTAAGTCATTGCAGCTCCATTTTGGTGCCGCTTCTTTTATGTCGCAAAAGCTGTTTCGAATGATCTTTTAGTTCCAAGCGCTCTGCGCCCCCTTTCTGTATTTACCAGAAAGGTATTTACAAACCTGGTTCCTCTGTCTGTTGCCCTGGTTTTTGGTTTAGCGAGACTTAGCTGATGAATCTTGTTTCCCTGTCTTTTGTTACCGTCTCTATTTATGGGCCCTGTTTTACCACTTTGCAGTCATTTGTCTATGAAACATTTCTTGGTAGCCCCTCCCATATTCCATAGATACCTTGTATCTAGCCCAGTCTTGGACCGCAGCCTGGTCCTTCCAATAGGTAAGAAATAATAAGCTCAAAGTCCCGGAAATTGAGAATGCCGAGGGAAAGAGAATCATTTGTAAGGATTTCTTTGCCAGATCATTTCAGTCACACGTTTCCTAAGTGAAAGGAATTTCTAACTTCACAGGTAGACTGACAGAGCTAACTGAAATGCTCAAGAGTCACATCAAGGAAAGTCGTCCTCAGATCTGGCAACCAATTCTTTTAGATCATCGTTCTTAATTTTAAAAGAAGGTATTCTGTGACATGTACTAAATCATGAATGGTGGCAGAATTCCATTAGGTAGTGAAAGCTTCCTTTAGTTTTAGTGTACAGCTGCCAAATTTTGCAAATAAAAGAAGCCACACAAAACACTTATTCATTGTTTACTAGAAATTCAAACTCATCGGCTCTAGTAACAAGATTATAACTTGAACCAAATAAACTGTCCAAAAACCTATTACTTTATGTTCAACCAAATAAAACGTCAATGAATCTTTTAAATATTTCATTTCTGTAGATTCTGTTTTCTAAATCTATGGCTTTTTGTATTGGTTTTCTTTTTTAGATTCATCCTACTGGAAAAATGTTTATCCTTTCAGATGGAGAAGGAAAAAATGGAACCATTGAATTGATGGAGCCAGTATGTGATACGCTCTCATATTTAATTTTTGGGTTTCTTATTATTTCTGATTTGGGCGATGGAAATGTGAAGATTGCACTTGTATAACTTTAAAAATCAAATTCGTGCTCGCATATTCTGTCTTAATTTCTATTTCTAACCTTTAGTGATTCTTAGGGCTCCAACTTTTCTGAAAGTGTCCCTTAAACATTGATTGGATAACAATTTTTCTTCCTTAAAAAAATCCAAAAAATACATATGAAAATCTTTTTTTTTTTCAAACTGTTTCTTCTATAATCACAAGCCTGGCCTTCAAGAGCTGGCCCCAGTTCCTCCTGATTCATGCTAAGTGGCATTGCTGGTCAGTTTTATTTTCTATTTTAAATTTTCATATATTTATATATGTATATATTTGAAAAACCTATTACTTTATGCATATTTTTATATTTTTGAAATTTAAAAAATTTTATGTTTAACGTGCTTAAAACATCTTTGTAATCTCTTATGAAGATAAAACACTATACTGTTTGGTTACTCTATATACAACGTGTGTTGTAAGATTTATACACAGTTCTTCCCAGTAACTTTTTAAACAACTACGTGTTTATAGGAAATCTGAACATCCTCAGTGTCTTTAAAAACTTTGCCTTCAACTGTATCTTAAGAACTTAAACCACTACTAAAGAAAACAAGACTCATATCATCCTTGTCTGTTACATATGCCAACATTTTTGACAAGCTATATTTCCAGTTATGTTGGTTAAATGTAAAGTTTCTTTTTCCAACGAAAAATTAGTAAACTGTGAATGAATCTAAAAAACAAGGAAACCGTAAAACACCTTCCAAGCTCATTATCAACTAATTATCAGCTAAAAAGGTAAATATTCCTAAGTGATATTTTGTTCAATGTTTAGCTTGACGAAGAAATCTCTGGAATCATAGAAGTAGTTGGAAAAGTCACAGCCAAGGCAACCATACTATGTGCATCTTATATTCAGTTTAAGGAAGATTGCAATCGTTTTGGTAAGTAAAGCATCATACTATCTAGCAGTCTCATATAACTAGGAGAAAACTTTTATTATTTAATGTTTATTGGTCTTATATCTCAGTCCTGGTATATTTTCAATTTCTGTAAAATTAGAAGAGATCTTGTAAATTAGTCATTTCTTGCATGTAAAGAAAACAGTAAATACCACTAGTTATAGAATAAAAAAGGGCTTAAAATATGAAAAATTTAATATTTTAATATACGAATTTGAAGCTAGACAGTATAGTAACACTGAAATTATGATCCCAGCAGAAAATGACTATATAATGGTTTATCATCTCTCCATTCTTTGGTAGTACCACAGTTAAATAAACATGGATTGTGAAAATAAGTCGACTTCTGAAAAGGAGAGAAATACATAGAAATACTTCAGGTAACAGTTGACACTGCGGATTCCACTGTAGATTAAGTGTTTCCTTAAATGTTTCTTTCAGATCTTGAACTTTACAATGAAGCTGTGAAAATTATCAATGAGTTTCCTCAGTTTTTTCCTTTAGGGCTTACACAACATGAATGAGCTTCTTGAGTTTCCTAAGATTGCCCTTGAGCTACATTGAAGGCTATTAAAGAAGACTCCTTCAGCTTAAGGGGGAAATACCTATCACTTCTAATATTTAATTTGCTCTTTTTTATGTATTTTTTTTGTAAATCTAATATGATAGTTTACAACTAAGTCTTTTTATAAATTTTTAAAAATTGATACTTCAATATATGGTCTGAATAATAAAACCAAAATATGATGCTGTTGGTCAATTGTTTTTATTTTTCAGTCTCACACTTGAGTTTTATAACTATAAGGTTTGTACTTATGTCTACCAAATAGAAGCCTGAGCCAGCTGTGCTACAGATTTTCTTACCATCTGCTGTACTGATTATTTCTTAATAGGTTATTTAGAAAGGGCTTTTGGTGAATGAAAAGAACAGGCATAAATCTAATTTGTCAAGTTTCTTCATTTTGAATTTTAAAATGTGTATATACCAATGACAAACAGGTGTTCATTGGGTTGGCAGAATCTTTGACTTTTTCTTCATGCCTTTAATCTTGCTATTATTCTTCCTATGGAATTCTCATCTACCATTTTTAGGTCCTAAATATTGGAATGTCTCTCACAGATCAAACTATTTTGAGAAATTCTGGAGACTTTAGATTTGGCCTAGTTAAAGGAAGTATGTCACTGACATACTAGGGTTGCTTTTCAAGGTTCTAGGGGGTCTCTGATTCCTTCCTCATTCTACTGTGTCTTGGCCACCATGTTATGAATTTCTCTTTTCTCCCAATCCCTGACATCTATAAGGTACTAAACCCTCTGAAAGCATGAATAAGCCATCCTTTTAAATTGTGAATATCAGGTGTTTTGTCACAATGATAAGACTAAGTCATATACACATACACACAAATGGTACCAGGGAAGTAGAGCAATTACTGTGATAAATCTGTGTGGTTCTTAAATCTTAAGAATGGATAGGGGAAGAATTTGCAAGGATTTGGAGAAGTGATTAAAGAAGTCCTAGAACATTGTGAGCAAAGTTTAATGATACAATGCATAATGGCTGGAACTTGAAAGACCAAAATGCTGATAGAAATAAAGACTGAAATCATAAGATTTCAGGTAGATTGAGACTGTTGGGAATTAAACTGGAGCAACATTCTGAGAAAGGATTTGTCTAGTTTTTTGTCTATGTCCTGAGACTAAGTGAGGTTAAATTCAAAATGAAGACATTAATTTGGAGGAGAAAATTTCTAGACAGATTAAGATTCAGACTATGACAAGTTCATTGTACATCTTCTGCCTGGGTTTAGAGTAAGAACTAGAGTAAAAAGCAATATTGAAACTGAAGTTTGTCTAGAAGGGACTGTTTCAAGTAGGCAGAAAGAGAGTTTTGTAGTTGTTCTGAGCTTAGTACCAGGAAAAAGAAAGCAAATGCTGTTCATTGGCATATTGGGAGAGATATTAGGGCATCACAGAATAAGTTTCTGACATGTTGACTTGTTGGGAAGATTTTACATTAAGAATAGAGCTCCAAGGAATGTTGCAGGGACAGCTTTAAGGGGTGTGTATGTGTGTGTGTATGTCTTGTGTCTGTGTGTGTTTGTGAGTTCAGCTACTCAGGGACTCTTTAGTCAATGCAGAAGTGGCCTGACTGGGCCTGGCTCCTGCCCAGGCTGAAAGCAGATCTTGGCATCATCTGTACAGTGATTGTTTTTTCGGGCATGTAAAACGCAAGAGCCGCAGGGCTATGAAGGCTTCCACCTGGAAGTTTAGATGGTGTTTGAGAGTTAGAGCCCCTACAGATAGCATCAGTGTGATGTGTGAACTGAGAGCTTTGAAACTCAAGCTGTTGTGCAAACTCGAGGGTGTTAGAGATGCCAGAAACAAGCAAAGTGTCTGCAAAGGAAAACTACAGGTTACAAATAGAGCTAACCTAAGAGAGGTCACATGGACCACAGTGGGCAAGGTGTTCAAAGCAGGATTCC